ATAAAGATATTTTTTAAAGGAAATACGGATGTTTTCAAAATCCTGTTACAAACACGACCTGAAATTTAGAACCAATTACGAGATAACGTCCTTGACTTGTTTTGCATGAACATCACAAGAACAGGATCACTGACCTAGAATTTCAATCGACTAGTGACCGGGCATGTCTGTCTCACAATCTCACTCCAGTTTACGTTCCGGTTAACGTTTTTATTACAGTATTTCCTTTTAGATTCATTCAGGACAAGAAAGAAAACAAAGACAATGGTCCCGGAAGGAATGCACGACTCGCTGAGTGACAGCAGGTTCTTGTCTTGGTGGGGATTGTGCTCTTGGTTTCAGCAATGAGTGAAGGGAAAGATCTTGCCCTTTTGAAGTTCTGAGGGGGGAGGGCGTCCGCGTTAGTGGGGGTGGACTGGAAACGCTGTCACTGTAACGCTTCGGGGTGGAATGGTCTCCCAGTCACCGTGGCGTCCACCTGCTGTTTTAAACAAAGGTTAGACACGTGAAAAGAAACAGTGTCTACGCTCAGGCCCGTCACCGCAGCTACAGTTCTTCTACGGCTCCACCTGGGTGTGCGGCCGAGGGCACGCGGCTCGGGGTGAGGTAAACGCTCACCTTACCACGATTCCCCGTCAGCTCTACCTCAGACTCGGTCTGGAAACCACGACCGCGCACCTCAGGTGTTAGGACAATGACGCAGAGGCACCTGCAGGGAAGGGCCCCTGGGCTGCTCGTTACCTGTCGGCGTTAGTTCCAGATCTTGAGGAAGCTATCCCAGGACCCCGTGGCCACAGCCATCCCGTCATCAGTCACCCCCAGGCAGCTCACGCGGTTGTCGTGCCCAGCCAAGACACCTGGGAGAAAATGACAGCACAGTCACTCCAGGGCCCGGAGATGTCCCATCGGGCAAGGACACGGCGCAAGGCGGGGTGGCAGGTACTCTCGCCGAGGCCAACCCAGAAGCCTCGCGGTGCATCCCTGCGATGCCTCAGTGGCTAGGGAAGGACAGCGGGAGGGAAAGTCCAGTCTGGGTGAAAATTAACCTGGAGCGCCTCCCCGCACAGACACGGGGGCCCCGACAGCTGGGAGAAAGGTCTGAATGAAAACGAACTGAGGACCCGGTGATCAGCCTGTGGGAGACAGCGTGGTGACAGAACACGCACAAAGGACACACAGTCGATGCCCAGGGCCTGCGGCACCGACTCCTGAGCGAGCACTTGGGAAGGTAAGAAGCTCAAATCCAAAGCAGAGCAACAATCGCAGTCACGAAATCCGCACCGCTTCCATCTCGGGGCCGCCGCAGCCCGAGTCTGGCTGTGGGCTGCTCGTCACGCGCCTGAGCCCTGGCCTGGCATGGGGCACAGAACCCAGAAGACGGCGGGTGTCGGGTGCCGACACCGAGGGCCACACGGAGCCGGGCCTCCTGTCGACACCTGGCAGTCTGCGCATCAGTAACCATCAGCCTGAGTCACATGTCCCTCCAGAGAAATCTGCAGGCTCATCTCAGAGAACCCTCGTCCACCCCCTGCGCTCAGTGAGCGCCACGGCTGAGTACAGGGACCGGCCTCCATGGTGGAGCAGTGCTCTCCGAGGCCTCGGTTGGCCTCCATGGTCCTCAACAGCACCGTGACCAGGGGACTGCTGGGGCCAGGCAGGGGCAGGCTGGGGGACAAGGGAGCGAGGAGAGAACGTGAGGAGAGTTTCAACCTGGGGTGTACGCGGATCCATCCACGAGGGAGCTAAGGTGACATCCCCACAAGACCCGGGGCCACCCTCCCTTCCTCCAACCTCCCACGCACCAAGACTAGCAGAGCCAAGGGACCAAATATGTCAATCAACCTAAGCGCCGCCCCCGCTTAATGCAGGAAGTTCTCATCTTCTGCACAAGTGCGTTTCAGTGCACTCGACACCTGCCTCTGACGTGCGGACTTCAGACCTTATACCTCAGCGGACACCCGTGCCTGAATCCGTGCTCCACGTGGGGACAGAGTTCCAACATGTACGACCAGACGGGAGGCAAAGCAAGGTGAGGCCATGAAGGCCGAGGTGCTCACCCCTTTCCCATCCAACAAGGCTGTCCCCAAGCACCTCTCACAAGTGTGTGTGGGAGGAGCTTCTGGTACATGCAAAGTTGACACTTGGAGAGCCAGAGCCCAGACGCCTCCGGCCTGTCACCTGTCCCTTGGCCAGGCCACGCCGTGGGCCCGGAACATTTCCTGCCAACCCAACTGATAAAGGCCTGAGGAGCTTGGCTTACGTGTGGAGTCGTGTCCATGCTGAGAGATGCTACCTGAGCCTGGAGACACCCACCTGCCCTGTCGGCCTTGAGCGCGTCCCACACGTTGCAGTTGAAGTCGTCGTACCCTGCGAGGAGGAGGCGCCCGCTCTTGGAGAAGGAGACGGAGGTGATCCCGCAGATGATGTTGTCATGGGAGTAAGTCATGAGCTCCTGGTCCGCACGGAGGTCAAACAGCCTGCAGGTAGCATCATCCGAGCCAGTGGCAAACGCATTGCCATTTGGAAAGAACTGGAAAGAGAAATCAAGACAGTCTGAAAAGGCACAAAGAGTGAACGCTGGGAATACAGAGTGCCCGAGAGCAGGGCCACTGCTGGTACAGTGCTAAAAATTAGCAAGGGACCACACCACGGGGACCCGAGGGCTCTGTGCTGAGTAAGCCGCAGGAAT